GGAAGAGGAGGAAGAAGAAGAGGAAGAAGAGGTAGAAGAAGAGGAAGAAGAAGAGGAAGAAGAAGAAGAGGAAGAAGAGGAGGAGGAGGAAGAAGAAGAAGAAGAAGAAGAAGAAGAAGAAGAAGAAGAAGAAGAAGAAGAAGAAGAAAATAAAGCAGAAAAGAAAAAACTATATAAAAATAAAGCAGAAAAGAAAAAACTATATAAAAAATTACTCAAAAATAATTAGAAGAAAAAAATAGATAATGCAGAAAAGAAAAAAAATTATATAAAGCAAAAATATTCACAAAGAAACTAAATACAACATAAAAACTACTCAGAAATAAATAGAAGAAAAAAAAGCAGAAAAGAAAAAACTATATAAAAAAATTACTCAAAAATAAATAGAAGAAAATAAATAATGTAGAAAAGAAAACAAATTATATAAAGCAAAAATATTCACAAAGAAACTAAATATAGCAAAAAAAACTACTCAGAAATCAATAAAGCATAAAAGAAAAAACTATATAAAAAAATTACTCGAAAATAAATAGAAGAAAATAAATAATGCAGGAAAAAAATTATAATAAAAATGTTGGGGCGCTGCCCAGTGGGCCTGCCAGACCTAGGGTGTGCAAATACAGGCACAGAAGGGAAAGCAGGCTCACAAGGCAGCGCGCCCTAGTTAGGCCCAGAAGCCTGCTATATAGAGTTGTTCGAAAGGGCAACTGCGGCTGGGTTTATAAACCAGTGCGGCTGCCCTTCGCTCGGCGAGGTGGGACTAAAAGTAGCGCACTGCGGGTTGCAGCGCACGGCCTTTAGTACCGGTTGTTGGCTTCAACCGGTACTAATGTAATGCCCTTTAATACCGGTTGGAGCCACCAACCGGTACTAAAGGCCCTCGTTTCCCGCCGCTTGGGCTGGTCAAAATTGGCCTTTAGTATCGTTGAAGCCACCAACCGGTACTAACGGCCCATCCTATATATAATACACTTACGAAAAAATAGTTATCTCCTTCCACTTATCGCGCGACAGCATCGATCTATCGCGCCGCTGCCGCCGCCGCCGTGCCATCGCCCCCGCCGCCCGTCGTCGCCACCCCCGCCGCACGTCGTCGCCGTCCCCGCTGCCC